GTTTAATCGTATTTATGTATAATTATACAATTTACAATATACCTAATCAAATTCAATCCTTAAAAACAAATGAACTAAACAATATATATTACTCACATCACACACACATTAAACACAGTCGGACGCGAGTTGATAGGTTATGTTTTTAAAATTTTAAAATTGTGTTCACTGTCCTACGTGTAGTTCTCTCGATCCGAATTATTGTTTTCCGTCGACGTTATTATCCGAATCCCACAACGGTTGTGCGTTGGTCGGATAGGTCCGATGGGACCGTAGTTAAGGCCCGGCCTGACGTTTGGATTAAACACACCTCTCATAGTCACGCCGTCCCGCATGAAGATGTCTATTGTTTCTCCGATGTTTAAAACAGTGGGCTGTAAATTTGTAGACGTTATGTTCGCACTTATAATAATATGCACTTTTGAATTAAATACAATACGTCAATACATATTATTATATGTGGTTAAACATTAAAATTTTCTCGTGATATAGGTATGTAACTTATAAAAAAWWWTTTAATAATATTTATCATCAATCACTGCACACTGTTTTCAAAACACCAGCAAGAATCGAAACTTTGTAAATAAAAAGCAAACAAACAGGAAATTCTATCAGTTGTGTATACACCTACATCCAAATTGCTACCATAAACTGCCTACATAGTTGAAGATTGAAGCATTATTATGGAAATAGTTCCTAAAGATGACGTCAGGCATATCACACAACAAAAATATTAAAAACAAAATACACATTCATCGGGTTCGGAGACTCTAATATATAGGTAATAATTCGAAATTCCGTWAAATAGTGTTTCTCGTTTATTTAATGATCAGCTTTAAGAGGACGCCACACCCGCATGTGTTGTCTCCGTCGTACAAGTGCGTAGCATAGCAAATTTTACGCTCAGCARATCWCGTTTATCTCCGTTAATTTAAAATTTAGAATGAATTGACCTATAATAAAAATTAAAGTTAAGATTATTACCGAGGGCATTTCATGGGCTTTTTATTATATTTTAATTTTAAAGCGAGTGATGAGTATTTTAAAATTGTAAATTATTTTTATGTCTAAAAATACTCATAACTAGATTTAAAATTAAAATATAATAAAAAGCCCATCAGATGTCCTCGGTAATAATCTTKCCKTTAATTTTTATAATGGGTCAACTCACTCTAAATTTTAAATTGAAGGAGATAAATGATATTTGCTGAGCGTAAAATTTTCTATGCTACGCACTTGTACGACGAAGACAACACTTGCGGGTGTGGCGTCCTCTCTTAAGAAGAAAATAATATGTACACTTAATTGTTACTCCCACACAGTGATTATTTCCTCTACGTGGCACAGCATTACTACACTTCTTTGAATGGGTCGAGGGGTATAATAATCGTGAAATACGCTTTATTGGAACCCGAAATTTCATCCCCTCTCCCTATGTATGCAGCAACTGCAGTGCTGTTCCTACATAAAGACAGATACAATATTTTTTGCAGAATTATATATGTTSTAGGTCAGAAATCTATATTCTTATATAAAACAGTGTATAGAACAAATTAATATCGTACGATGGCCAAACAAGATCTTTGAAAGACGCCACTGATGCAAACCGATGAAGTAACCTATATATATACCTGAAATAATAGAATATATTGTTATTATATACTAACGATAGCAGACGTTTGTGCGGTATTGAACATCGCCGGGTCAGTATACTCTAAGGGTCCGGTCGAGATCACTTCGTTCGACGTTTGATCGGACTGCTGCACCAAGCTCGGGAAGGGAACATTTTGTCTGACGTTGGAGTTCTTCACACGGTTTTTGGGCRTCGTAGAATTTAAGCAGTCAAACGGCACGAACGGTCGCGAATATTGCGTATACCCACACTCCAGTCTCAGCTTGTTCAACATCGCCGTCCGAGCCCTGATCACGCTTATCTGCAGCGGACCAAACAACTGACGGTATAGTCACATAAATCGTTATCAATATGTCGTTTATATTTCAATAGTACCATTCTTGWAGAACCCGTGCCGACCGTGACGTGAGGTCCAAATTCGCAAGCCACCCCAAGACAGAAATTGTTTTCCGAATCCCAATATTTCACGTCCACTTTCAACATGGCTGCGAGCTCTTTGATTTGCACGTTGTGCGCCACCAAGTGAGACGACTCCAAAAAGTATTTGATCAGTTTTATTTTATACTGGYCGTCGATTGGCAACTGCGACGAAATAAAAACAAATGGACAAACGCGATTAACTGCTGTTGCTGCTGTTTAGTAGGTAACAGTTTGAAAAATTATTCAGAGCGTATGTCTATTTAACATTGTTATGCGTGAATAATATTACAAAAATATACGTAAAATATACGTTTACGATTGATTTAAGTTTTATTTTTCGGACGCTTCTTCTTCGTTAGAAYTGCTTTATACGAACTATAAATCGACGATATTACATAATATGTACTGTACCTTTACATATTTTTGCGACTATAATAATTAAACATATTAGTTTGACTTACGCACAACCACATTCGATGTCCATTTTCGTTATTTTCCGGGTCACCCATGTACGGTAATTTAAATGCAGGTGCGAAACCGCATAGTCTTCGTAGCGTGTTTAGCATTTGTTCAGCRGACCTCGTTTTGGCATCCTGCAGCATGTTGGTACACACGTGAAATTGTAAATATTAAAATATCATCAAATATTAGGACGCATTGTTTTTTTTTTTTT